AAGATTAAAAAAAACTGTCACAATGAAAAAATATATCAAAAGTACTACGTAGTACGTCGTAAACGTAGACAAACAAACAGCTGATTTTAATCAGATTGCTATATTTACAGAAATAACTTCTGAATAAACACACAGGAAACTGGGGTTTCTTCGTTCGTGTTAAATTCATTTTTTCAGTCATCACAGAGCTAAGAACAAATCTATATCAAACTGGATAAAATGGAAAACTTGGGATAAACAAACAAATTCTCCCTCACTGCCTAATCCTTTACAGATTAGCCGGGATTACAAGTATGTGTATTGAGGAAGTTGAAAAGTTGAATCTACTGCTACAACAAAAATAGAACGGGACAAATACGTAAAATATTTGCCAGAACAGCTCGCAAAAATAGTAAAATGCGCTATTGGATATAAAAACCACCATTTTACTATTTTTCAAAAGCTGTGGAGAAATGTTAATGAAAGTACAATCAGAAGTATTCGGAAACTATGCCTAAGCTCTATAATTTTGGTAAAACTTGTGTTTTTTCACTATAGAAATCAACGGAAAATATTTTTAAAACACCCCCTTTTTCCCTTTTACAGCAATTATGAGTTATTTAACAAATGTATACCAAAGCTCTTGTTGTTTCACGGGCCGGGGGGGGGGGGATGTTTAAAGATAAATTAACATGAGTTAAACATATGGAAAAAATGAAGGATCATTTATCCATGTCCATGAGTATTTTAAAATCTGAGTACTATTTTAAAATCTAGTGATGTTCTAAAGCCTGATTTCAATGGATATACATCTTTTAGCCCCCTTATAAAAAGAATTGCAATTAAGACCAATTAACAATTTTACACTGTTATTAATTATGTAATATTGTAATTTTTGAATTTACCGGGTGGTAGTAAACAACAAGAGGCCCATGGGCCATGTCGCTCACCTGAGCTTATTGGCTAGGAAGAAGCAGAAATCAGTTCGGTATTGAACGGGGAAAGGGGGGGGGGCAAACTTTAATTCAAATTACCTCAGGATGCTTCCATATCAATATTACTAATCACGGCTTTGCTTCTTTAAACAGGAGAATTTTAAAGATTTTTTTCCTATGTTTTCCACCGTCACGGTAGCTTATACTGTAGAGCTTTCGCTCCGTGATTGGAAGGTAAGAGGTTCGAGCCCCGGCTGCGACTGACCTAAGTCGATAAAAAATAGGTAGCAACTGTTCCTTCGCCAAGTGCTCAGCACTTTGAAGTGAAAGTTGCGGGTCCTTCAGATGATACCTTAATAACCGAGGCCCTGTGTCACGACAGGCGTAGGCACGATGAAGATCTTTCACTGCTCAATGGCCCTCGGCACTCAGCCGAGTTAAGGTCTAAATTTGAAGGCCTTCACCGGTATATGGTGAAGTCTCTATATGAGTGAAAAATTCTTGAACGGGACGTAAAACAACATACTATCAATCAATCCTATGTTTTCCTATGTAAAACTCTGATTTCTCATTGTGGCCCCACACTACCCACCATAAATTTGAACAAATTTGAATCAACACATCCTGAGGATGTTTTTATTTTATAATAATATGACTAATCATAGCTTTGCTGTTCTTGAGCAAAAGATTTTTCAAGATGATTCCTATATTTTCTTTTCTTATGCAAAACCTAACTGACCCCCTGTTGTGCACCCATGATTTGAAAAACTTGATTCCACAATACCTAAGGTTGCTTCTGTATAAATATGACTAATAATTGCTAAGTTGTTCTTGAGAAGAAGATTTTAAAGATATTTCCAATGTAAAAGCATTTCACAGTAGAAAAGGATTTATCATAAGATAGTTTCAAAAATGTAATTTACTAAGAAGTAATTAATTAACAAAAATTATATTGAAGTCTATGGGGACAAGCGATTCCTTTTAAAAGTAAATGTTCAAATAATATGAATATTAATAAATACTGTGGTGGAAAGATGCATTAAAACATTAGAAATAGAATGACAATTGAAAACGATTTTTTTAACCAGATAATTTTTTTATAATTGATTTTATTCATTGATTATAAACAGAGGGAGATAACCCTTACCAAAATTCAGGGTCATAAATTAGGACACATCCCACCCTTAGATGCTAATAGTAATAAATAGTAATTACGTCAGAATATAGTGAGTACAAAACACATCTGTTGTGTATTCAATTTCATTGAATCTGTTGGTATTAGGGATGGAATACCTAAACTTCTTTGCTGATTCAGCATCCAACTTCTTCTGCTAGCTTCTGAATGCCTGACTTTCTCAAAGCGTTGCCTTATATACCCTTTGGTTTGGCTAGTCCATTCCAAAGGTTGTTAGGTCATACCATTATTAGAGGTCTTCGGTGCGTTTTACTCGAATATGTCCCTTAACCATTACACCTATATATTTCTATGTAAAACTTCCACCCCCTCTTGCGGCCCTGTCCTACCCCCGCGGGTCATGATATAAAAAAAACTTGAATCTACGGTATGTAATGAAGCTTTCACGTAAGTTTCATTTTTTCTTGTCCAGTGGTTCTTGAGAAGAAGATTTTTAAAAGATGCCACCAGATTTTCATAAATTCTTAATTATTTCCCTTTGAAAGACGACGTGACACTTCCTGTGAACAAACTTAAATTCTCTTTACTCAAGGATGCTTTTTAGCAAGTTTGGTTGAACTTGGCCCGATGGTTCTTGAGAAGAGGTCTAAAATGTGACAAGTTTACGGATTACAGACGACAGACGGACGCCGGACACTCTTTGATCAGAAAAGCTCACATGATGATTAATTGATTGATTGTATGTATGTTGTTTTACGTCCCATTTGAGAATTTTTCACTCATATAGAGACGTCGCCATATACCGGTGAAGGGCTTCAAATTTTGACATTTACTAGGCACTCAGGGCCATTGAGCAGTGAGGGATCTTTATCGTGCCAACGCCTACCGTGACACAGGGCCTCGGTTTTTAAGGTATCATCTGAAGGAACCGCAACTTTCACTTCAAAGTGCCGAGAGCCCGGCGAAGGAACAGTTGCTACCCATTTTTTTTTTTTTTATCGACTTAGGTCAGTCGCGGACAAGATTCGAACTCACGACCTCCCGATCATGGAGCGAGCGCTTTACCGACTGAGCTACCTTGAACGGTAAAAGCTCACTTGAGCCTTCGGCTTAGATTAGCTAAAAATTACAATATGACAGGTTGTCATATTGTAATTTGTGGTATTTACCTCCACTCGGTATATTCAAAAATTACAATATTACGATACATTTGTAAAATAAGTCAATAACTAGTGAACTCTTGTTTGCAATAAAAAAATAATGACAAAATTGTCATTTTTATTGAATTAAGGCGCGTAAAATGTAGGCTGGAATCGAGAGTTAGTGTGCGTAGTTCTTTGCCATACTCTCCCCATGGTCATCTTTTAAAACTTAATGATGAACTAGTGATATTGTATGTTCGAGTACATATCAGGGTGTTGTGATTTCTCAGATGCAGGTCGCTGGAACTAGGCAAGTAATTTTATTCAGTGATAAAACCCTACTTACACTGTAGTAAATGGGGGCCCATTTGATGTAAAAAACGACTGGGCATTGTTTCTTCTTAAACACATGGGTTTTCCAAAAAGAAGAAAAAAAACGTGCATTTAAGGCGAAATATTTTCTGGCATGATTCCAAGAACATCAAATCAACATTTAACAAACGAATAAGAGACAATGTTCAGCAAAATCCCTCCTCCTCTCACTTCGACCAACGTTTTATAGATGTCAATTTTTGTAACGTTGATGTTTGTAATTTTAATGTGTACCATGACGTTGAATATATATACATGTATCCATGTTTTGTTAGAAAGTCCCCTTCTCAATTTTTTTTTGTAACCATGGCAACACTCTTCATTGAAATAAAAATACTAAAATAAAAAATTGTGTATCTTAGTGTACTTTACATGTGTACCAAATTTTATTGAAGTCAGACAAAAACTGTAGGAGGGAAAGCGATTTGGAAATTGCTGAATATAGTATACCCGTGTTTTATTAAGAAATCCCATTCTAAAATTACTATTTTTGTAACCATGGCAACACTCTTCATTGAAATAAAAATACTAAAATAAAGAATTGTGTATCAATGTATACTCAACATGTGTACCAAATTTAATTGAAGTCAGGCAAAAACTGTAGGAGGGAAAGCGATTTGAAAATTGCTTATAATTACGACAATCAGACAGCTGTAAAGCCAAAGTCTTAAGGATTAAGGACATTGTGTGATTGTATAAACTCTTCCTATGAAATAAAATTGACCAGTATAACTAAAAACTAATTGACTGCATGCTTTGTTTTAGTAGTATCACTAAATCCTCTTTTATGGAAACATTATATGTAAATTTGTTTGCATTTTTGGGATGAAAAATTTGAAAAACACATATTTTGGCAATTATGGGTCTCATGCGTTGCCATGGCAACCACGACGTCATTTTACTCTGCATAATTAAAAACCTTAAGATTTTATCTTTCAGAGAATGTATAGGTTGCTTTATGCAAAAATGACTAGAAAATGTTAAAATTTCAATTTAAAATTTTTAAGCTGTTTTGCAGAAAAAATGCAAAATCTCTGGTAGTTAAAGGGTTAAAGAATGAATTGAAGTGGCATACTCATTTTCAGTTAAATGTTTATTTTCAAGAAATATAATAGCTTGATTAGGTTCCTTTCTTTTATTTTACTCATTTCCGAATCGCCTAGAAGTTGTGATTATGAAATTACTGCTATTTTATTTCAATTAGACTCTCACCATTGGAGCTTCCTTAATCACTGACAATCAAATGAATGGTACATTAAAAGAGTATATAATAAATATTCGCTTTGAAGAAAGTTTTGTATCTAATTTATTGTTAATCAAGAATGCAAACTTTAAAAGTTGTCTTCCTATTGCTTATTTTTATTTGTTTTGCAGGTATTTGGCTTTGTGCTGTTGACAATTTTTCATTTCATTTTTTTACCAATTCTGATGGTAACTATGGAACGTGGGCCTCTTCAATGGTAAGGTATACATGTAACAACAGCATTTCAATAATGTTTATTTCAATAATTTGACTAAATTTGCATGATCCAATGGTATTGCATTTCATTTTAAGGTTGTACAGACAATATAAAATTCCATTTATGAAGGTTTTTCTGAACGTGGTAAGTATATTTTAAAAAAATAAGTCTTAATAATTATTTTTTAGAATGTTTTCCTTTAAAAAGGATGAATGTAAAAGTTCCAAAAAGTAAATGCACAATGTATAATCCTTCTTGGCTAACTTGTTTCACAGAAATAGTTTAGTCTTTGTTTTTGTACTAAATTTGGCTACGGAAGGCTCTTTCTACTTGATCCATACATTCCAGTCAACAGGGGATACTTTCTTCTCCTAGGTACCTGATCCATTCTCTGGAATTGCCGGGGGTCCGTGTTTATATACACTGTTTACAGATTGTATTGTTTGTAGTTTTTTATGAGATTGGTCGCTGTTTGTTATCTTCAACTTTTTTTATTTTTTAGCTGAGTCTCTTTGCTCTCCTGACTGCATATGCTTATATGCTTCTGTTTGATTTTGCAAAAGGAATATCTAACACAGATGTATTTCTTATTGCCTGGATGACTAGCTTTTTTATTGAAGAAACAAAACAGGTACTTTTTCCAAGCGCATTCCTTATGTATTATTACGAACAGTTTTTTTTTTTACCTCAACTACTTAATTATTTATTGAATTATTTCATTTTAAATCTACTGTTTCGAAAAACAAATCGCAGTTTAAAATATCATATAGAGCCTTTCAGCATATTATAGACACAGTACTTGACTTTTTATGCGAAATGTACTTTTGCAATTTTTTAATCAACATTAGAATCACAAATATTATTCATCTCTTTTTACTATTTTCGATAACATGTGGTTCACATGTACATAGGTATAATATATAAGTATTCTGTAACTTGTTTTATTGATTTTGACATATAAATTATATCTTTTAATCTATTCGTCGTTGTAACAAGGGGAAGATAAAACGGGTTGATTATGTAATTTCAATAAAGTTTCAAGGTTTTGTCGATGTAATAAGACAAAGAAAAAAAATCGTATAATGTTTCAATGTTCTGAAACTTGAGTTATAATGATTTTGAAATTTACATTATGACTTTAAAGGTGTTTGTCGCTGTAAAAAGGCAAAGGAAAAAGCAGTATATTACGGACCCTTGGAACATTCTTGACTGGTTGTCTATGATTACGTACATATGCGGCATGCTGATGAAACTTGAAGATACGAATGACTACTTTACTGCATCAAAAGTTCTGCTAGTTGCAGCCTTCATCATGTTCAGTATAAGGATACTTCATATGTTTTCCATGTCCGAGTTGCTGGGTCCAAAGTTGGTTATCATCCAAAAAATGGTAAGTGAATACGAAAAAAAAGATAAGGTGTTGTGGATTTTCAATATAAAATAATTTCATATGAGTAACATCCAAAGAATGGTAAATATGAATGAAATAAAATAATCGATTTCTTATTAATTTGAAAATGAACAATGTACCATATATACATCATCGATAAATATGTCGGATTAATGCTACTGAAGTTTAACTGAAGCCAAATGAATTGAAAATTTTAAATATCTGTGAAAACCAAATACGATAAATAGTGCTATTTCATGATTATTTCAAATTATTTTTAAATTTATTTTATTTCAAACTGCTTTTTCAAATAACTGCAGATAACTTTTTCTCTTCTTGATCATTGTTATTTTAAAAAGGAGTTAAAATAAGAAATACTGCATTTTTTTTTTATAGAGTACAGTTTTCATCATTCGTCATGTTATAATTAAAATAATAGAGAAGACTTTTCCTTTGAATTATTCGCATATTCAGAAAAAAATACTTAAAAACTATACTTTTTAATAGCGTTTATTGTTGTGTTGTTTTTACCCATAGGCATTTTGTATTGAAAGCACTGCAGTGTCACATTTACTTTTTTTAATTTCCAGTTTAATGACACAATTGCTTTTATGGCAATCATGTTTGTTATCTCCATGTGCTATAACATCTCATACTATGCCATTCTATATTCTGAAAACTCCGAATTTACTTTTGAACAACTGGAGAAAATTACGAGAAACGGATACTGGATGTTATTTGGGGAGCTGAATTTGGAAGGAGATAGATGTAAGAAAAAATTAAATCAAATCAACATGTTAATCTATTTTATCATATTTAAAAAAAAATTGAAATGATTTTGATATCTTTGATATATATTAAATTTAAATGTTCGTTTTTCCCAATCTTCATGGATTTGTTTGGCAAAGTATGCTTTAGGTATGTGATACACATATTATGTATTATTACACTGTTCATACTTAGTTATTAATTGTTTTCCATTTTTGTTTTGTTTTTGTTTTTGTTTTTTGCATATGCAATATATATCAGACGTCACAATAGCCACAGCAGCTTTCATGACTGATAAAAATTCTGCAGGGTCCATTTGGATCTGCAGGATTCATACGGGTTTATATCACATCCCTTGTACATTACAAACCATACAAAAATCTTATGATAAATTTCGTATACCTTTTCTTCGTTCATTAATTTTTCGTAACAGTTACTGTTCTTTGATGTAATAAGATGTATTACTATTTATTTGCATTTTTTCTCAGGTAGATATATGCTGTTATAACGAAGTATGTAATAAACATAATAAAACAAATCATTCTGCATAAAACGTCCTGTTGCATTCTTTGTACAATATCAGTCTAAAAGGCTGCAATTTGTGCCCTGTGTTCATACAAGATGTGATATGTTGAAAATTATGTTTTATTATCCATTAGTTTGATGTCAAAGAAATAAAAAAAATATATTAGACCAACTAAACATATTTTTGCATATTTCTAGTGACGGAACCTGAGTGCACATTTAACCAAACTGAGTATAGAGAAGGGTCAAAAGAAAGATGTCCTTCATCACTTGGGAGGTTTTTGGCTCCTTATCTAAAAGCTGTTTACGTGCTCATTGCAGTCATACTGCTTTTAAATTTGCTGATCGCCATGTACAGGTATGTCATAATAAAAGCTTATTTCTGTCAACGTTTCAAGTTTACCTTTTTGAAATTTTATAGCATTTGTCTGTTTTATCAGTCCATTTTATCCTTTTCCTGATTGGATCTTTTCTTGGACTTGTTGAACCAGTTTGATTTTATTGGCCATGCAAAATTTTTCATAAAAATACTAGTTACAAGTACAATTTTTTTAATAAGAAAAAATATAAGGTGGTGAAAACAAGATCGATCAAAAATAATTCCTTATAGAAACTGTTTCAGAAGAGATGAAAGACCATATACCAAAATCCTTGTCAAATGCTTTTAGAATGCACAATCAGTATTTCATAATGCTCAAGGGTACAGATAGCTCAGTCTACCTGATCAGTATATTTGGCGGGTGTGACCAGTCAAGAGGGGATGCTTACTCCTCCCAGGCACCTGATCCCACCTCTGGAATTCCCAGGGGTCCATGTTTTATACCCTCTTCACATATCTGAATTGTTTATGGACTTTTTTAGATCGATTATCGTTCGTTATCTTTATCATTTACATACGGAGAGAGGTTGAAATTATGTTTTAAAGAAGTGTTTATTCAGGAGGCTATATGTGTTCAAATAATGATTGAAAATACCTCAGTTTTTGATTAAATTTGTCTAGAAATAGCTTATGCTTAAAACAGGGTTACAATCTGAAATGTATACTGATAAAAATCATATTTTTTTCTTTTAGTAATACGTTTGCTGAAGTACACGAGAAGTCAAAATTCTATTGGTCTCAACTTCAAACGGATTTTTTGGAAGAGTTCAGTTTGAAAAGTATTTTTCCTGTACACATGCAACTAATCGCGATCCCATTCTTTGTCATCCATGCCTTTGTGTGGTTAGTGAGGTCCTTACCTCGATGTAGGACTGTCAAATGCTGTGATGCTTCGGTTCATGCCAAAGATGACAGTACTATTCTCCACCACGCACCATATACACATGAAGATGATATAAAAAAGTTTAACAAAATTCCTATGTTTGTAAGAGGTCAGTATGATAACATTGCTTTCTTACAAGGGCGAAGATCGATTTTTTTTATTTATTTGTTAGGTTTTTTTTGTTTTGTTTTGATTTAGCTTACATGAGCTGAAAGCTAAAGTGAGCTTCTCTGATCACAAGTTCTCCGCCGTCTGTCCGTCTTTCCGTCTGTCCATCTGTCTGTCCCTCCGTCTGTAAACTTTTCACATTCTCAACTTCTGATGAAAATCCACTGAGATAATTTTAAACAAAAATAATACAAAGCAATCTTGGGAGAAGGGGTAGGGGGTTAAATTGTTAAAGGGCGGAACCCCCTTATAACGGAGATAATTAAGAAAAGACAAAAATAGGTTGGGGTCATTAAAAAAATTCTCCTTAAGAACTACTTCGCTAGAAAAGGTAAAATTTATATGGAAGCTTCCCTAGGTTGGGTAGATTCTATATTGTACAAATCAAGACCACGGTGGTGGGGAAAAGCCACAATAGGGAATCAAAGTTTTACATTGAAATGTAATGAAGAAATCTTCTCAAGAAGCAGTGGGCCAGAAGGATGAACTTTTGTGGAAGCTTCCTGTGGTAGTGTAGATTCTTAATAGTTCAAACCATGCTCGCTGGGGTTTGGAAGGGGCTAGGATAAGTATTACGAGGGGGACAATCTGGTGAAGTACAGCAGTGCCTACTCAGGTGAGTGTTGTGACCATGGGCCTCTTGTTATTTTATTCTGTTTTTATTTTATGGGTTTTTTTCCGTTGTTTATTTGTTTGTTCGTTTGTTTTTGTTTTGTTTTGTTTTTATTTTTTTGTTTTGTTTTTTTCTTTCTTTTTTTTCATTCTGTTGTGTGTTTGTTAACAGTCTTCATATATGATAGTAACTACGATTTAAAACTGAGGAAAACGAGGGAAGCTGAGGGCAAGGCTGCTTTAATCACAAAGGGGTAAGGGTGTACTTGATTTAACATTAGTCAGAAAAAAAAAACTGTTACTTTTTATTAATGATTTTTTTGTTTCATTTTTTTTTTCATAAATATTATTGCTTTCAGTGAAATGGATATCAATGAAGAAAATAAGCTCAAGGTATGTCGTGTTGTAAATTTCGAATTAATTTGGTTATTGTAAAAACAAAATTTACATGATGACAAGTTGTCATGTTTAAAATTTTATATTTACTATCAAGATTAAATTCAATATTTAAAACATGAGAGTTTATTTAAGCGCGTATCTGATCAGAATCTAGCCATTTATTTCAAGGCTTGGTAGTTGTGACTGAAATTTGTGTCATAATTCTTCGTATACGTTCGCAGGAAATGAGTAAAAACTTAATGAGACATCGGAGAAAAATTCAGAAGAGTATGATAGAAAACTTTCAAAAGGTATATTATTGCTACTACTTATTTTTTATCGGATGTACTAAACGTCATCATGTTACATGTAAAAAGACACGTTAATTTCAAATGTGCACTAAATTATTATCTAGAAGCATTTTTTTCTAAATTTGAAAAAGGTCTCTGAAATCCGGTTATGTATATGATAAGAGTAGCATACTAAACAAAATGAAGTATCAGAGGATTATTTTTGTGCAGTATATTTCTTAGTTAGCTTGTTTTTGGCATCAATGAAATTCAAACCAATTAGGTTTTTCTTATTATTTTTGGTGAAAGATATATGAAATACAAGCATAATATAATTATTTTCTGACAGATGGAGTCAAACCTTCTGACAAAGTTGAAACCAGATTGTAAGTTAAAAAAAAAATCTTTTTTTTTCGAGTAATTTAAACTTACATACAAACAATGTATGTGTTTTTGTAAAGTTTCAGAAAAATTATATTTTGTATTAAAAGTTTTACTACATTTTATGTATCTTTATAGTAATACATTTAAGTTAATTTAAAAAGAAGCACGAAAATATATTATTTCCTTCAAGGCCTACTAGAAATATCAAACTATCTATGTTTAAAAAAATAAAATTGTGCTTATAATATTAAATATTGTTAATTAAGTTTGAAAAGACGACGTTTTGACATGCCGCTGCATGACTTCAAGTAGCTTGTGGATTGTTTGAAACAGGCAATTAAAGATTGTCCTTTTCATGCTATTTCTAAAAAGCGGGTATAGTGGAATATGCGTTCACTTACATGTAACTTATATGGTTGAGATATGTATTTATATCTTTTTTTTTTGTAATGTAGCTTACAGAAGATCAAAATCTGAATTAAGTCCAAATTCATCGTTCCTGAGATATCGCAGACAATCCTCAATCAAATCAAGAAGATCCTTGAATGTGTCTGATTCAGAAAGTGGTAAATATCATATTAAATGATACAATCTGATAGTGGTGAAAGTGGTAAATATCATGTTCAGATAGTGGTAAATATAATATTAAATGATACAATCTGATTTAGAAAGTGGTAAATATCATATTCAATGATGAATAGTTAGAGTGCGTGAAATTTCTCTGACATGGTCTCATTCATAAACTAGTGTGTATCGTATGTATTTATTGAAAAGTAGTGCAATATCTCTACTACAAAATTATTAAGAAAGTCGTATATGTCGTATTAAAGGTCAAGGTCTAGAAAATATATGGAATTGTATCCGTATTACCTACAGACAGTATCGGGATTGCGTTTCACATTATTTTAAAATTGAATTCCACGAAAATACTTCATTTTTTATATAATTCTACTGTAGCCGTTCAGTACGGTAAAAAAAAGTTAAATGATGAATAAATTGTGAAATCTGTCTTGAGCAATGTGCACCTTTGTGTCATAATAGACAGAGGTTAGAACTGAACAGCATAAGCATAGTGGAAAGGATTAATAATGAGATAGATTGCATATGTGTCGGAGAAAACAAAATTAACTTTAAAACCAATTTTTGTATTAAATACTATACTGTGAAATAATTTTAAATCCATTTATATTTCAGACTCGGACACGTAGAAGTTTTGACTTTTACCAAACATTACAACTCAATAACGATCAAATTAAAAGAAGAATGGATGGTTTTAATCAACTTTAAAATTTTCACCATTCTTTAAAAAAAACTATAAAAGAAAATTGTAAAGCTTGTGAAGAAGGTGGAAAATATTTATTATGTTCATGCAATGGGGGAAAATAACACTGTCAAATATGTTTTATTTCATATTTTGTACATTAACATTTTGTTAATTTCTAAAATTCAAACTAACTATTTTTCTATAATGAAAAAGATAAAGATAACAAACATAAAAACTACAAAAAAATACATTTATGTAAACAGGGCATAAACAATGCTCCATAAAATTTTATTATTTAACCTCATATAAGTTTTCATTTTTAATAGAAATTTTTAAAAACCTTCACTATCAAATTGCTTTCCTTTATTTATGTTTCGTTAAGGCCCTTCCACAATTGGCGCACGAGCAGAGGCGACAAAATATTCGTGCGACCAAAAAAGTTTGATTTGGATCGTAAACTGTTGCCGAAAAAATCGCATAAAAAAAGTTTTCGTACGAAATTCAAACGATCTAAGGCTATCGTTGTGCGAAGCAAACGCATTAAATTTTTCGTCTATATTTGACTTTTGTACAATGAAAGCGGGTGTTGTAACAGATTGTGATAGGATCGCGCGAGTGATCAGGTGACCGGACGATTGAAAGTGCGCCAATGTGATTGGACGTGTGGCGCTCGTGCGAACATATGTTCCATGGTACGAATGCTCGTGCAAGTCAAAGGGGGTATATATACTGCCCGTTTCCGATTTTGGAAAGCAATAACTTACTGTTGGTCAGACGTTAGTGGAGCACTAATATCACTAGAATTACTGTTACGAGTAAGTATGGCAAATTAAAGCTGATAAATCGTGCAATTATAGTAAAACGTTGAAGATTACATGAGACACGTTGAGCGACAGTCTCATGGTCGCGAAAAACAAGCATTATAAAACAGCTGCGATTCATCTTACGACCTTTAAAAATCGTGCTTCACTCTTGCGAGTACACAAAACGTTGTAAGACGTTTGTACTAATGTTCGTGCGTTGCATTGCGACAATTTTTATCGCATTCGGTCGCGTTTGAATAAAGTGCATGTCCACTATTTTGAGGAAACTTGATGCGACCACTAAAACGCATGCAACGAATGCGTGACATCGTGCAGCGTATACGGGAGCTCATGCGAAGCTATTTGAAAGATTCCAATCGCAAAGTGTTGTAAAGTGCTTGTGCACCAATTGTGAAAAGGCCTTAAAGTACGTAAGTATTATGTTGTAAATAATATCCATTAAGCCATATTTTAAATTCAAGTAAAGATAATTAGTATAAAATTTGACATCATGTTTTTTTTTAAATAAAATGTGATTTGCAGTCATCATTTCGATTTTAATAAATCTTTATAATCATTATCAGAATTGTTTGTTTGTTTGTTTGTTTTTCAAAAGGGAATCAATGCACACATATGTAAAAGCATTAGTTTTCTCTTCATATTTATTTATATATTTTTAAATGATTTTTTTTATTTTTATTTTTTTATTATTTAAAAAATTAAACAAGAATTTAATAAAATATTAGTGCTCTCTCGGAGTATCTCCTACTTATAATCGGGAGCGAATCTTGGTTTTGAGGTGGGGGGGGGGGGGGGGGGTGTTGAGCAGGTCAGGAGTCTTTGAACCACCTTGAAGGATCTTATTCGTCCAGCCCCCGAAGATGTCATTGCTCTTGCATGAGATTTAGAAAGTCAAGAATGAAATCTTTTTAGTATACTTCTGACTAATATTTTAAGTTCGAAAATTAATTTGTACTTATTTCAGGTTCCCATAAATTCCTTCACTGTAAATTAATCTTAATCATCCTTGTCCTTCTTTAATGCACCACTTATAGGAGTGTGCAGAGAAGATCAAATTAACCTTGACGGCCAAGAGGAATACAAATTAACAACAATTGGAGAATTTTTTTTATGCATGTGGGATTTGCATTAACATAAAAATGGGGGATGAGGGTGGGGAAATGGGTGGTCAGGGTAGTGGGCACTACTTCTCAATTGCCAAACTCTCAGGATCTACTGTTATAGATGTCATTATCAAATATCATCTTAAGAATGTCCCCTCCTCAGCCGGGAAGGATAATGCTAAAATTTAAATTAAAAAAGTCTCAAGATGAAGCTTGAAATTGAATTTTTTTCCTTGCAAGAATTTTTATTTTATGCATCTCAATAGATTCAAGGTTCTTTGAAGTCATCGAAACGGTCTTGTAAAAAGTTGACATTTGTATCACATGAAAGTACAAAAATACATTTTTATAGAAATCGAATTTTCTTTTAATTTAGTTTCAAATACATTTACCTATGTTAATCTGTGTAATATGAAATTAGAAGTGATCTGTGATGTTTTGCTATGATAGCAAAAGCTTTTTACACTAAGTATTATGCAGCAGTTGAAGGAAATAGAAGGACTACAGAACCGTATAGTATAAAAAAGTGTAAATGCCTGGATACCTGTATTTTTTTTCTATCCTAAAATATATTTATTGGTCAATGTTCAATAGGAAAATGCAAAGCTGGCGTTTTTATTTGCATTTCCTAAAAAAGTTTGAGATTTGATATTTTTCCCAAATAATATGATTAACTTTAATAATGAACTTTGAAGAATTACCAGGGATAAATATACGTTACTTTAAGAATTCAGAGACATTTTTATGAGCATTTTTTAATTACTCAACTTCCAATTCTCAGAACCTGGGGATCAGACTACCTTAACTTGTCACTAGGAGTTGGACGGACAGGGAACTCCTAAAACTAGGCCCTATTTTTATGATGACCATACAACAAATCGGCACCAGTCATTCATCTGCCTTAAGAAAAACAACCTTATAACAAAGGGAATGATTTAAGGAAAGGACAGAAAAAAAATTCTGAAATATATTTACTCTAATTTCTTCATAATTCAATTTCATAGAAAATCTCCTGGGGTTTGTGGAATTTACATGTACTCCATTAAAAAAGAGCGCAAATCGTCGATATTGGTGTTTGATTTTAAATATTGGGGATTTTGATCTTCTGATTAAATGAAATTGGTGGACTCTGAAAAATTCAGATATTTTAGTCGTCGTTTACATGTATTTACACATAACTTTTAACTGATATAGTCATTGATAATCTTCTGGCTTCTATGTTTTTTTTTATATCAAGAAAATAAGGGATCACACTCCCCATCCTATAATAAAGAGATTATATTTCAAAAGTTGTAAATAAATTTAATTTTGCAGAAAGATACGATTTAGATTACAGGGTCAAGAGAGAGGTACATTGTACGTAGTATCGGGGAGGGGGGGGGGGCTCACTTCCAAAAAAAATACTAATGAAAATCTCCACTCAGCGGATGGTCCCACTCCACTTTTTGTTGCAGCATAGTCAAATTGCTCCATCGAAATGTATTGATAGAGTTTGCTAGTGAAAGAGCTGGAACCCACTATCATCGGTATATGGATTTATGCAGTTTGCTTGTTAAAAAAAAAAATCTGGAACCTTTCGGCCACTAGTAAGGTGTGCTAATTGATACTTCCTGGCACCCTCAGGGTGACTAAAATAGGGTTGTCTTCGATAATATTTTGGGGAAAAACATTTTGATTTAAAAAAAAAAAAAAACTTTTATTTTACTTCCAATTTATTGATATATTTGAAATTGTTTATCGTTGTTTAAAACTGCTGTTGAAATCTACATATTTGTTTCTTGGAAAGAAAAGAAATTTGTTTCCGGGAAAAAAATGATATAAAGGAAAAGAAAGTATGAAATAATTACCCGATAATTAATGAGATATTGATGTAATATACTGTGTGTCTATTGTATTCGACACATTCAGTCTCTAGGTAAAACATTCCTACATGAGTCAGGCCCGTAGGAAGCAATTTCATTTTGAGGGGGCACAACCATACATTTTCAGTTTGGGGGGGGGGGCACTATCAACTACCAAAATTCCTTGACAAGCAAAAAAAAAAAAAAAAAAAGGTCATCAGACGTTATTATTGAGGGGGCACAAGCATATAGTAGCTATGTTTTCTACAGTATTCTATATATCGGCAAAATTATTGGGGGGCACGGCTCCCCCGTAACCCCCCGGTTCCTACGGCCATGTGACTACAATTACGAATACCGTGCGACATTATAAAAACGAAAAAAAAAATCAAAATGCAAAAATGATTCCAGACAAATTCTGAAAGGAATGAATCACAAAATGTTTTCATCAAAGCAAAATGTATAGGATGTGGGGAAGAGTACCTGTCCATTCTTCTTGACCTCTACAG